GAACTCCAAGCAGCGATGGTGACGACGATGATGAAGACGATGTGATGATAGTAATGTCGGTGATAGTGATGATGATGTTGATGATGAGGAGGATGATGCTGATTCTAATTATGTTCAGCACGATGAAGATGACGAGTCTGACGAAGTTGGCGACGATTGTGATGATGATGATGCTGATGATGACGACGACGATCATGATGACGATGCCGATGACGATGGTGATGTGATTATTGGGTGGCGACGATGCTACTGCTGACGATGATGATGCTGATGATGCTGATGATGATGATGCAGATGATAATGATGATGGTAATGCTGATAACGTGGTCATGTTCATGATAATCATGGCGATGGTATTGATGATTCGGCTGATGACGACGATGACGATGATGAGTAATGACGATGGTGATGATTGACATAATGATGGTAATGACGACGATGCTGATGATGCTGCTGCTGATGATGATGCTGATGCAGATGCCAATGAGGGTAGCCAGGGTAACGATGCTGATTCTTATCATGATGGGTTGGATAATGAGGAGGATAACGCCATATCGCTCACATTCGGCGACGCGTGTCCGAACCAGGACACGGCAACCAACGACGGCGAGAATCAGTGACCAGCTACGTCCGCCAACATGGTCGATAAGTTCTTGCAGCCAGTTGCTGTCTCCACAGACCCGCTGGCGGGTGCCATTTTGTATGGCAGTCTCCTAGCACCTAGCGAAACAATGCATTGCAGAGGAGGAGGAGGAGGAGGAGGAGGAAGCGCACAGATCTGCGTTGATCAACTTCTTGGCCGCCTGCGTGTTCCCCCCGTTTCGCTATTCTGCTGGCTATCCTCCGCGGTTGATGAGTGAACTCGTTAGGCCCTGTATACGCTTGCGCCCTGAAGTCGCCCTACACGCGTTGATGGAGAGGCGAGTCGGAGAGAAATTTGTCTTCAGGCCGGCTCTGGATGGAAATTTACACAATCTGCGTCCCGCATCCAAGCGATGGAGCAGCTGGCCGTGCTGCTACAGCAGTGGAACTCGATCCAGCTGTAGAACCTCTACAAAGTATCGCCCAAACGCGCGACGCTGGCGACGACGGCGCCCAGCTCTAGTTGAATGAGTTTCGCGGGCTTCGTGCCCTGGTGGTCGCGAAAGCGAAACGCTTCCTCCTCCTGTGGCAGGTCTGGCATTAGGCTGGCCGCACGTGGGGCACCCCGCGAGTTGTTACCCTGCCAGTTCAAGTCAGACTCACACTTGCGCACTGCTTGCGATTCGCGACTCGCCCTAGCAGATGCACGGTCACGGGCTACACTGTGGGTTTCTCCAACGATGCATTCTTCGGCTCACGAGGGGCCCTCTGGTCTATAGTCCACAGCATGTTGTCACCTCAATGCGTTGGCCGACCGCGCCTGGCAAGGATAGCCGTCGTTGATCAGATTCTGGGTGATGTGAATGCACAACCCGTCCACTGCCACTCGGAGGCACTGGGTCTGGCTTCGAGTTGGCGCGCGCTTCAAGCGGTTGCCCAGCAAGAGCGAGAGGTCTTCAGCTTTCATACCTGCGGTTTGCCTCGGGAAAAACCAGCGTCATCGCCAGTCTCCGAGGGCGCCACCCCACTGCCACCGACGGACGGCACCCGAGCGCGAGGACACCCAGAACGCAACTCTGAACGAGGCTCCACCACTCCCGAGCAAGCTCAGGGTCTGCATGCGAAGTTCCACTGCGGAAGCCGGTGGCCGCCTTGGAAACGAAAGCGCGTCGTCTGCGGATCCTGTTCGACGGGCACGCGGGCCGCCGCGCGCTTCGGCCTCACCGCGGGCGCCGTGCCGAGGCGTTCGCCGTCCTGCCGCCGCCGCTGCGCCTCCTGCGGACCTCGCAGGGCTGCCGCGCCTGCGGCGAGCGTGCGCGGCTGCGCCGTGCTCGGGAGCCACCGCGCCGCGAAAGGCCAGCCGCAACAGGGCGCTGCGCCCAGGCTTCTTGGCGTCAGGCGCAGAGAGCGGCGGTCGGCATTCCCCGCAGCTATAGGGCCCTCGGAGGCTGGCCGCTTCGGGGACCAAAGCCATCAAGAAGGTGTCGAGGGATGGGGCAGCGACGCTCTTCCGTGTGGGGCCACGATGCGCCACGAAAACATATATACGCAGACCCCCTCCGACGAATTTTGCGTGCACCTTCCGGGAGGGCAGGGGTGTATCAAGTCGCCAGCTTTCGGTGGTGATTTATACACCGCCGCCCTCTCCCGAGGCCCATGAAGAATCCGTTGGAGGGTGTCAGTGTATTTTTTCTTGTGGCGGACAAGAGGTCCGGGGGGCCCGCGCCACGAGAAGGCCACGACGCCGGGGCAGCTTGGGCCGGGGCTGGGTGGAGTGTGGCGGCGGGCGGCGCGTGTCGTCTTCGGCATCCTGCCCGACCTGCCGCAGGGCGAGCGCCAGCGGCATGCAGACTTTCCAGGGCATCGCGCAGCCGACGTCGGGCGGCCCCGTGCACAGCGGGGCGGCGGCACCCCTCACGCAGGCAGGCGACGAGCACGGGACGAGCAGAGCCCGCGCCGATGCTGCCGCATCCGGGGGCGTCCCTTCGGCGCGCTCTGCGTGGCTTGGCTGCGCCCTCCTAGCAACATTCTCGTCTTCAGCTTCGTCGTCGTCTTCGTCGTCGTCGTCGTCGTCTTCCTTCAGCCTCCTGATCCTCCTGCTCGTCCACCTCGCCGTCGTCGTCGTCTTCTCCACCCTCGCCCCCATCCCATTCCTTTCTCCACTTTTTCTTCTCCCCCTGCTTCGCATCATCCTCACCACCACGGTCATCATCGTATTCACCACCACCGTCATCACCATCACAATCACAATCACCATCACCATCACCATCACCATCACCATCACCATCACCATCACCATCATCATCATCATCATCATCATCATCATCATCATCATCATCATCATCATCATCATCATTTTCATCATCATTTTCATCATCATCATGATGATCATCACTAGCATCAGCATCAGCATCAGCATCCTCATTGCATTCACCATGTGTCAGCATCACCACCACGTGTCAGCATCACCACCATGTGTCAGCATCATCACCATGTGTCAGCATCATCACCACTATTATCATTTACACTATTGCTTTACCGTTGCTATTCCTCGTCCTCCTACGCCGCTCCTTTGCAGTCGCCTCCTCCTGCTCCTTTCGTCGTTATCCCCCTTCTCCTGCTGCTGCTTCTCGTCTACTTCGTACTCTCTTTCATGCTGGCTCTTTTCTCATCCCTCTTCTCATCCCCGTCCTTGTCGTTATGTTTTTATACTTCGTTTTCCTTTCCATAGTATGTTTGTTCTGGTATGCTGTATCATCATATGTGTCCCTTCTCTTCTCTCACCTCATCATCTTTCCCCTTCAGGTATATCGCATTCCCTCCCGTGCGCTTTTCTGATCTTGGTTTCCCTGCTCATCTCTCCTATCCGTTTCTCTCCTCTTCTCAATCTCTTTTTTTCCTCCTCGGGCCTCCCCTGCCCTTCCCATCTCGTTGCTGCCCTTCCCTTCCCTTCCCTTCCCTTCCCCCTCCTTCCCGCCGTCGGAGGGAGGCCAGACCGCTCCCTTCCCCTTCCCTTCCCTCCCCCTTCCCCCTCGTTCCCCCCCTCTCTCTCGCCTCGGGTCTCCCCCTCCCTTCCCGCCTCCCTGCCTCTCCTCCCCTCCCTCCCCTCCTCTTTCAAGGGAGGAATGACCACCCGGACCGGACAATTGGCGTTTACGAAACGGCCCTGGGCGTTTACTAAACAGCCCTGCCCTGTTTGATTCCTCCTTTGGGCGCGTTTGCTAAACGGCCTCGTGTGTCGGGGTGGTTCTTGTCGGGGTGGATGTTCTGCCCCCTCCCTCTCCCCCGTCCTCGGAGGAGCCCCCGACCGGAAGGCAGGGCGCCCCCCAGGGAGAGCGCAGAACGCCCGCGACAGCTCCGGGCGCCTCGCCGGCGGAGCCCAGCGGCGGCCCACGTTTGTGCTCCGCTCCTCGCCCCCTCTCGCGCCCTCTCGGGGGCGGACAGCACCCCCACCCTGACACGCCGAGTAGTGCATTGTCCGCTCTCGGCTCTCGAGGGTCGGGCGGGCCGAACGAGAAGGGGGGGGGATAGGGAAAGAGGGGGTTACGAAATCTGCCGCACGCAGCTGGTTTCGGCCCCGCCGCTGGGCCCATTCCTCGATGCACGGGCGCCTCCCGGCGTGAGCTGATTCTGTACCCTACCCTCTGCTATCCCCCCCTTTCCCCTTTCGTTCCCCCCGAGAGAGGGCGCCGCGGCCGTCATTTTCCAGGCTTGCGCCCGCCCGGTTTGGGCCCGAGGTCGTTTTCACTAAACCACGTTTTGCTGAAGGGGGTTCTGTCCATGCCCGACTCTCTCGGGCTCCAGGGGAGCGGGGGTCCCTCTCGCAGCCCGCTCTCCCTCAGGGCCCGAGAAGGTTCCACAGGTCCGCACGGGGGCCGTCGTGAGCTGTCCAGTTTTCCTAAACAGCGCTTCGCTGGAGGAGGATCTTGAATGTTTCGACGCCCAGACCCCTTCGGGCCATGAACTATCATGACGGGAGGTGCTCTTCCATGTTTGGCAAGCCCGAGGGCCCCAGTTTCGACACCCAGACCCCTTCGGGTCATGACAGAAATCACGACGGGAGGTGTGTTCCTCGACCTTCGGCATCCGAGGGCCCTTTACCAGGCAGCGGGACCGGCAGAAACGATTCAGGATGCGAAGCCGGTCCCGGGGAAGAGGTCGAGACTTTTGGGAGTCGCCGCTGAGAACAAAAATCATGGCGTCGGGGGTTGTTGGGAAGAAAGGACCACGGAAGGGCCCCACAGGGGGGGACGGGGAGCTGGACAGCCGTTTCGCCCGAGGCTTCCTCACAGTTTATTCCGGGCTCGTGCTCTCGGCGTTCGCTTCTGCTGCCGTTGGGGTGCTCTGCTGGAGTAGTCGCGTCTTTGTGTGCTGCGCCGTGGGTTTCGCACGACGTCGGCTCTCGCGGATGGCGCCAGGCTCCCGCTCGCTCTCCCTGCCGCCCCCGTCGCGCCTGGGCAGGCATGGTGTTCCGCGGCCTGTCCGGCAACGGCAGGCCCGACGGCTGGCTGCTGGGGGCGGCCGAATGTCCAGGGCGCCAGGGGTCGGGGGAGCTTTTTCGTCGAGTGCTTATTTCTAGGCAATTACTCTTTTCGGTCCCCTCCCCGGTGCACCATGTGCTCTCTCAGTTACAGTGCTCCGCCCGGGGCTCGCACCTAGTGCTCTACAACAGAGAGTCTTGTGCCTCAGATTTGCGCTCTGGCCCCCGACTTACAAAAGCAATTGCAGTACTCATGTTGTAAGACTGTTCGTTCTTATCTGCTCGCGTGCCATTCAACACGTATATCCCAACCCCTCGATACCAGCTCTCTTCGTCTTCGATCGTGCCCCTTGGGGGTATTTTTTATCCTGCGACGTATATTTCGTGCAGCCCCGAAGGCAGGGGAAGAGAGGACAGATGGAAGGACAAGGGGGAAGGAGGAGGATGGAGCACGAAAGAAAGTAGCAGGGGGGGGGCTAGGAGCAGAAAACACGTGACAGAACCAGACGGGCAGATCGGGCGGGTAGACCTTAAGATGCGGGTCGGGAAGGCGGGTCCAGGCAGCCATGTCGAGCAGGCGGGTTGCTGAAGCGTGCGTCCTGCATGATTCGCGAGGAAGTCTCGAGCGACAGCGCGATTCCCAAATACATCGAGAGGAGATCCAGAGCGAGAGCGTGATTCCTGAGAGTCGAGGGCGCGGCGTCTGAATATATTGTGAGGAAGTACCACGCGAGAGCGCGATGTCTCCGTTTTTGTGAGGAAGTCTCGCCCGAGAGCGCGATTCGGGAATTCATTGTGAGGAAGTAACAGGTGGGAGCTGTTGTTGAATTCTCATTTTTGAAAAAAATATGGTTGATCCCCCCCACCGGTGCATATTGTTTTTTCTCAATCAAAGTGTGCCCCTCGACGCTCGCACCTTGTTTTTTGTAAGGGAAAGTCTTCCTGCTCAAACTGGCCCCTTGGCCCCCGGGTTACAACAACAACGGCTCCCGCTTGAGACTTCCTTACGATTTAGCCAGGACCCCCGCTCCCGCCCGAGACTTCCTCGCATTTTATTCAGGAATCGCGCTCTCGCTTGGGACTTCCTTACAATTTACTAAGGAATCGCTCTCCCGGCGCTCTGGAGTCGCGCTCTCTTGCTTGCAACTTACTGAAGAATGGCCTTGCGTGGGAATTTCTTGCAATTTGCCCAAGCGCCGCGCTCCCGACACCCAGGCACCCAGGAGTCGCGCCCGTTGTGGCCCCATGTGCATGCCCTTCGTGGCCTCGCTGTCGCCATTTGTGTCCCCCTCACTGTCCTACGTGGCCCAGTTGCTACCCTCCGTGGCCCCATAGTTGCCTTCTGTGGCCCCGCATTATCTGCACTTCGTGGCCCCCGCTCGTTCGCGCTCTTCGTGGCCCCATACGCATTCCCTTCGTGTCCCCGCTGTCGCCCTTCGTGGCCTACTTCGTGCCCTTCGTGGCCCTGCTGTCGTTCTCTCTCGCTCTCGCTTTCGCTCGTCGTCGTCGCCGTCGTCGTCGTCGTCATCGTCGTGATCGGTCCCGTGTCCGTCCCTCTTGGGGTCGGGCCGACGGTCCGCGGCCGCCCCGCCGATCAGCGCTGCCGCTGGCCAGGCCGACGGTCCGGGGCCCGGCCTGCAGGGAAGATTGTATACCCCCCCAAAAGGGGTTCGATCGAAGACGAAGAGGGCGGGTATCGAGGGTTTGGGAAATACGCGCTATTGGACACTCGAGCATATAAGGGCGAACGGTCTTAAAATTATTATTGTTGTTGTTGTTGTTGTTGTTGTTGTTGTTGTTGTCGTTGTCGTTGTCGTTGTCGTTGTCGTTGTCGTTGTTGTTGTTGTTGGTGGTGTTGTTGATTTTTCATTTTTGAAGAATAACTATTGTTGATCCCCCTTCACCGGTGCATGCTGTTTTTCTCAGTCAAAGTGTGCCATTCCACGGTCGCATCTTGTTTGTTGTCAGGGAAACTCTTCGTGGCTAAACTGTGCCCCTGTCCCCCCGGACTACAAAAACAACGGCTCCCGCCTGAGACTTCCTCAAAATTTATTCTGGAACCCCCCTCCCGTCTGAGATTTCCTCACAATTTACTCAGGAACGGCGCTTCCGCTTTAGACTTCCTCACAATTTAGTCCGGGTCAAACTGCGTTGCTGCTCCCCCGGACTACAACAACAACGGCTCCCGCCTGAGACTTCCTCCAACTTTACTCAGGACCCCCGCTCCCGCCCGAGGTTTCCCCCCAATTTACTCAGGATCCGCGCTCCCGGTTGTGATTTCCTCGAAATTTAGTCAGGACCTCCCCTCCCGTCTGAGGCTTCCTCACAGTTTACTCAAGAACGGCGCTCCCGCTTAAGATCCCCTTGCGCTTTAGTCTAGACCCCCGCTCCCGCCAGACATTCCCTTTCAGGCATTGCGCTCTCCTGTGTTGGAATGGCTGGCGCAAGCTATGGCGCAAGCTGAATCGCAACTCGCGGCACAAATCATCGTCGTCCCTCCTTTTTGCCCCTCTAATCCCTCCCTTCCTCCGATCCCTTCGTCATCTGTTTTTGTCATTTTCCTTTTCGGTTCCCTGTTTAGGGGCTCCTCCAAATACACGTGGCCATGAAGGAATCTAATCCCCCAGAAGGGGGTACGATCGAAGACGAAGAGGGCGGGTATCCAGGGTTTGGGATATGTATAGTGAATGACACGCGGGCCAGTAGGAGCGAACAGTCTTGGAATGGTTGTTGCTGTTGGTGTTGTAGTTCGGGGCCCAACACCGCAGTTTGGTGAACCTGTATTTGCTTTTCTATAAAACAGGGTGCAAACCCCGCGAGAAGCATTTAAATCTAACATAACATCTCTACAGGGGAAAAAGGGACTAACAACAATTATTTGGTACAAATGAGAGCTCAACAATAAACACAACAACACCAACACCAACAGCAACACCAACAATCATGTTACCCGAATGCTTTATGCGTCTGTATGCAGCATGCATCCATCATGGTCGTTCCCCCTTCATGGGGCATAATTTTCTTGTACGGGGGGGTTCGATGTTCCCCCTCGTGGATCTCCCGCCCGAGGGGGTTTTCACAAGACCCCCTCCGAGGCACTTCAACATTGCCAGCCCGGGTAGCACATCGCTTTCGCGATGCCCCTGCCAGGCTTTGCTTCTAGGTATCACGACGCTTGAGTGGCTTAAGGCTTCTTGGAGAGAGAGGCCTCACAATCTCCTGGAGAGCCCCGTGGAGAGCCCCGTGGAGAGCCCCCAGAGCCTCTGAGAGAAGCTTTAGAGCTTAAGCGTCTAGGCTTTCGACCCCTCCCCGGGGACCGCTTTCTCGTCGGCCGCCTTTTGATGGCGCTACGGCTCGTCGTCGTCGTCGTCGTCGCCGCCGCCGCCGCCGTCGTCGTCGTCGTCGTCGTCGTCGTCGTCGTCGTCGTCGTCGTCGTCGTCGTCGTGGTCGTCGCCACCGCCGCCGCCCCCCCGGCCCCGAGAGCGCCGCGACGACGACGGCGGCGGCGGCGACGACGACTGCGACGACGCCACGCCCCAGGACGCAACCGAGAGCGAGGTCGCGCGGAGTAGGCGCGAGAGAACGAATGCGCATTTGGAGTATCCAACATTAACGCTTGATTAGCGACGACAACGACGACGACGGCGGCGGCGGCGACGACGGCGACGACGACGCCACGCCACGCCAGAAGACACGAGCAAGAACGAGGTCTTGCGGAGCTGGCGCAAGAGCGCGACAGCGCATTCAGGGTGTCCACGAATCGTAACTGCTGAGTAATAAAGTTCAACATGGACTAGGGCCGACTCATGGCGTCTTGGGAATCTTGAGTACCAGCGAAGGAAGTATCGAGCGGGAGCGTCGTTGTTTGTAAGAGGTCCTGAGGCGGGAGCGCCGGTCTTGAGGTGGAAAGCGAGAAAGTATCGAGCGGGGGCGCCGATTTGTGGGAGAGGCGGCTTTGGGGGGCGAGCAGAAGCCCTGGCCCCGAACGAGAAAAGGTGGAAGTGTCGAGCCGGAGCGTTGAATGTTAATTTCTAAGCGATTATTATTGTTGGACCCCTTAAAGGCGCCCTGGCGCTCTCGCCGAGGCGCCGGCTACATTTTCATTGAAAATGAGGCTCACGTTCGAGCGGTTTGGGGGGCCGCCAAAACCAGCCCCCCAACAATAATAACGTTCTCGCTCGAGACTTCCTCCTTTTTTGCTCAGAGCTGGTGTTCTTGCTCGCCGCCGAAAGCCGCCGTCCTAACCAAGCCCGCGTTCCCGCTCGAGAGTTCCTCCAGTTTTGCCTTGGACTGGCGCGCTAGTCTTTCTCTCATCGGCGCCGCCCCCAGCAAAAACCATGCTCCCGCTCGAGACTTTCTCCATTTTTTATTCAAGGCGGTGTTCATCCTCGCCGCCGAAAGCCGCCCCCCCCCCCCGACAAAACCAGCGCTTCCGCCCGAGACTTCCTTCTTTTTTGCGCTGGACTGGCGCCCGACTCTCTTTTAAATTGGCGCCGCTCCCAGCAACAACAACGCTCCCGCTCGAGGCTTCCCCCCTTTTTCCCGAAAACGGTGCTGTTCTTCGCCGCCGACAACACCCGTCCCGACAAAACCACGGCTCCCGCTCGATGCTTCCTCCTTTCTTACTCAAGGCGGTGATCCTCCTCGCCGCCGACAACCGCCGCCCCGACAAAACCAGCGCTCCCGCCCGACATTTCCTTCGGTTTTACGCTGGGCTAGCGCCCTTCTCTCTTTTGAATGGGCGCCGGCCCCAACAAAAACAATGCGCCCGCTTGAGATTTCTTTTCTTTTTCGTCGGGACGGTGCTGTTCCTCACCGCCGACAGCCCCCGTCCCGACAAAACCACGGCTCCCGCTCGATGATTCCTCCTTTCTTTCTCAAGGCGGTGTTCCTCCTCGCCGCCGAAAGCCGCCGTCCCAACACATCCAGCGCCCCCGCTCGACACTTTTTTGTATGCTGGACTAGCGCACTACTCTCTTCAGCATTGGCGCCGCTCCCAGCAACAACAGCAGCCTTGCTCGAGACTT